CTAGTTTACTATATAAACTGATGAAAACAATGTAAATTGTCGTGTTCAATAAAACCTAGGAGTAGTTTACTATATAAACTGATGAAAACAATGTAAATTGTTGTGTTTAATAAAACCTGTGGTAGTATACCATATAAACTGATGAAAACAATGTAAATTGTCGTGTTCAATAAAACCTAGGAGTAGTATACTATTTAAACTGATGAAAACAATGTAAATTGTCGTGTTCAATAAAACCTAGGAGTAGTTTACTATATAAACTGATGAAAACAATGTAAATTGTCGTGTTCAATAAAACCTAGGAGTAGTATACCATATAAACTGATGAAAACAATGTAAATTGTTGTGTTCAATAAAACCTAGGAGTAGTATACTATATAAACTGATGAAAACAATGTAAATTGTCGTGTTCAATAAAACCTAGGAGTAGTTTACTATATAAACTGATGAAAACAATGTAAATTGTCGTGTTCAATAAAACCTAGGAGTAGTTTACTATATAAACTGATGAAAACAATGTAAATTGTCGTGTTCAATAAAACCTAGGAGTAGTTTACTATATAAACTGATAAAAACAATGTAAATTGTTGAAACCATTCATTCATCTTTACAAGAGCTTGTTTTTTTTCCCTTCAGAACAAAGAGTTGACAAAGTATATTCCAACATATTCCAAACCACAAAGTGGCATCAGCAAATTTATGGAATCTTACCTGATTTCAAGAAGAAGAAGAACAAGAAAAACAATCCAGTCACTGATATATTTAGTGCTGACAAGCGATTTTTGCCAGAGGCGATAAATATTGTCGTATAAGTGAGTTATTTTATTCAAGACATACATCAAAGTGACAATACTGAAAATTCTGGTGTCTTAAGTTCCGGCAAATTATGATTTTAACACGTGTTTTCATCTACTCTTAACGGACTTCAAACTCGTGGAATATCGTGATTTATCGCCAACTGTTTACTTTCTCTATTTTCTGATAAAATATTTCAAGAGTTTATTATCAGTTTTGTGATAGTGTTTCGGGACTGTGAACATTCGTCAGGGAAGAAAGGTTCTGCGACCTATCGCTAGTAAACATATTGTCATTGCACAAAAATCAAGATTTCGGGACTGCGACCTATTTTATTTTCACAAAAATCGGAGAATTTGATATTCAGTTTTGTGAGAGTCTTCGTGGCCTGCAACCAAGTATATTTTATAAGGGAAATCATCACTTACAAGTGTGTTTCAGGTCTGCGACTCTTCGTCAGTGATAGCGAAATGAAAAGACAGTCATGTTGTTTCATGAGTGATAAAGCTCTTACAAGTGTCGAATTCGCCTATACGATATGAACTTTTTAAAGCATGAATAATGCACAGTCTAGCTTTTTGAATTCTGATCAATGCACTTACTGCTAGCTTTGAACTCGTCTTTCATCTTAAGTTGCTGCAGTGAAAAGCTTGTTTATTGCAATCTTAGCCTCGCACGGAAATAACGTGAATTGGAGTTGGTGCGACAAAAACGTTTGCGACCTCCAATAGAAACGTACTGTATCTGTAAAAATTGTGAGTGAGTGAACTGGAATAATCAGCATGGCTTTGAAAAAATATTCAAACAGTCGGTTGCGTTTCCTTGCATCGTAACGGTGTCCGATCAAACGCAAAGATACAAAATCAAAGATATAAGTGTTGCGTGTGTGGGATATCTGAGTGAATCAAAACTCCAGTATGGCTTCTGGGTTAAGTGTCTTTACGTAGTAAGGGTGTGCGACCAAAAGGTTTGCGACCATCAACGCAAACGTTAGAAAGATGCAAAATCAGACGTCGCTTCACCAACAACTTCATACGGATATCGTGTACCTTTCGATACGATCCGTTCAGAAATTTCTCATTCCGGTCATCTGCGTTTTGGGATCCACCGGCAACATTTTAGCTATCCTTACATTTCTGGGACGGACGTTACGGGATAAATCTTGCTGTATATACCTTGCGACCAAGTGCGTATCGGATACCCTATTTTTGCTCAGTTTATTCTTAGTGTGGCTTGCCCGTGTCGACATGCCAGTGTTTCATCTTCATGGGTTCTGTCAGATTATTATCTTCGTGACGTATATATGTGGATTTCTATCAGTTTGGATCGTGGTTTTAATAACTTTAGAAAATTATATTCGAATTTCACACCCGGCAAGAGTGTCGCAGTTGTGTTCGGCAGAAAAGGCCAAGTATGTGATCTTAGTGCTTGTTACGGTTTCGATTTTTGTGTATCATTTTCCCTTATGGACAACTGGAATAATAAGCGGAAACGGTACGGAGGGAAGTTGCTCGTCCATAGAAAAATACACAGACATCAACCAGGGGTTAACGTACGCCGATACAATATTAACCCTTGTATTACCCTCGGTGTTAATCGTTGTATTAATGATCGCCATTTTGTGCAGTGTATATGAAGCTTACAAACGTCAAGAACGGTTACGGCGTTTGGGACGACATGGACGAAGACGTTTTCTAAGCAAATCGCCGCATGGTCGGATCACTAAAATGTTGTTCGCCGTATCGACTGTGTTTATATTTTTTCATACTCCGAGTCATGCGATCCGACTACGACTTTTGATCTTACAGTTTTTAAACGAAGATATCAACCCTGTAGAAGAGTTGAAATTGCAAAGGATTTTTGAATTGATTTATTACAGTAATTTTTCAACCAACTGCATTATCTATGTCGCCTTTGGAAAAACATTTAGAGATATATTTCGTCATATTTTCTGCAAATCGAAGTTGTGTTGTTTTTACCAGTCTAAAACTAGTCCCGAACATCCCAGGTATGGTAGTCTCTTTCCTCCAGAAAGTACTTATGAAAAGGAGACGGAAACTATATGTCTACAATCTGTTGACGAGCTGTGTGATAAACGAATAGCCGTAGTAATTCCTGTGTCGTAGCATGTAAGAGCCTTATTATAAATCTAACTCATTGCCTCGTAGCATAGATTTTACTTTCGGTTTCATCTAGTCTTAGCATGCGTTTTACTTTCGGTTTCATCTAGGCTTAGCATGCGTTTTACTTTCGATTTCCTATAGCCACTTATTCATTTATAACAAAGCATTGATTCACTTCCGGTTTCACACATTCATAGCATGGGTTTTACTTCCGGTTTCAGCCTCATAACACCAGTTTTACTTTCGGTTTCACCTACTCATAGTATGCGCTTTACTTTGGTTTCATCTCCATATGTGAGGTTTACTTTAGTTGTTCTTAAGCCTCTTATTCATTATCTGGCACAATAGGTTTTACTTCCGGTTTATCTCATCAACGTACAGTTTTGCTTCCGGTTTTACCTATTCATAGCATGCATTTAGCATCCACTTTCATCTCATAGTTTGAGATTTTTCTTTCGGTTTATTATTGGGTTTACTTGGTTTCATGTCCCCAAGTCCGTTTTACTTTCGGTTTCAATTCCTCATAGCATGACTGTTACTTCTGGTTTCTATTTTTATTTCCGGCGTAATCTTCGCATCGTCTAGGTTTTACTTCGCTTCCACCTTCTCATAGCATGGTGTTAAATGATATATTTCTTAATGTTTATGTATCTATATATTTTCAATGAAGGTTTCTACATGGCAGATCACCACCAGGTGTTGATGTGTTTCTTATTGGCCTATCTAGTCAAATAGTTTATAACCTACTGTTCCTTGAGACATTTGGCTAGCAACGGGTCGGCATTGGACTTGAGTAAGGAGCATAAAGGTCAAAGGTTAAACAACAATATAGCTCATTATTAAGCTCATTTATTATTTTGGTATTTGATTAGTCCCGGGGTCGACCTCGCAACATGCCCCTAGAGCTAGAGTAAATAGTTTCCAGTGAGCAACATATTCCGACAATATTTGCTCTTGAATTGTATTGAGGTATACGAGAAAGTAACATATTGGCAGGTTTTGCTGCGTGTAGTGAGCATAAATAGTTTCAATAAGCAGCCATTTCCGACAAAATATACATCCTTGGCGATCATTGGTCCATTGATATTGCAGTGTTGATCCATTATGCCGGGGTGTTACCACTTTAACATTAATCAGAGTTCACATGGCTAACTCCAGGCAGGGTATGATTACTCTTCTAGACACATGATACCACTTTTCATTATGAAATACTTACTCATTTATGGTTGATATAATTTGATGTATGTAGCGCCAGGCTGGATATGCTTACTCTTCTAGATACCTGATACCACTTTTCATTATGAAATACTTACTCATTTATGATTGATATATTTCCTCGTGTGAAAAGTTCATTAGCTGCTACTAATGTTTTTTGTCGTTTGCGGTTCGGATCGTTAGTATTTAGTTTATTCATTTGACTTTTAATTTGGCAGTTGTATATTAGTTCAAATATATGACAATCGACTATTTCTTATCGAGACAAGCTGGTAGACAAGATCAAAAGATTTTGTTTTAGCAATTCCTTTATTTTTAAAACAGGGCGATTTGAAACTCATTAGGTCTCTTGTGGAGGTATTACTTCTTGAAACAGCTTTTGTTTTACTCAGTTTTTGACGAAATCTTAATGGCTTTGGCTAGACTGGGAATTAGTGTTACCTACAATAGTTCATTGTCAGTCTGTAAATGTTATTAGGTTTCAAAACACTTAGTAGGCTACCCACAGCGGGACTTGGATAATCATAAACTGTTAAGTTTACAAGGGTCTAAATAGGGTCCAATATACATGAACATGGCCCTGTCTAACATTCAGCCCATGGGATCGATATAATGAATTACGATATAAATTAAATTACTGCGTATAAAACTACGTCTAATACCTTGACTGCAACAGCTATCTTTCTTGTATCACGTTGGTTGTAAATGCACCAATTTGATTGGATTGTACTCTAGCGAATACATTCACAGGCTCCGAGTTTACTCTAAAAGAGGTCATGCGACAGTTAAATCAAAGGGGAATAACACATCTCGAACAGTTGACAGAAACGAGGAAAAGGTTTTAAATCTAGGGGAAATAACTTGATCAATTGACCCTCCAATAACATTTTTGTATAATTAAGTATAATTGTGTTATGGTGTAAGAAGTGACATAATTCAACATTCATGGCATATCTGACTACAATAGCGTCTTTTTCCGGGAATAATGACATTCAGGCCAATAACTTAAAAGGGGGTGGAGTGGTTCACTAGAGGAGTAAATTAAACTTCATATTAAGGACTGGGGTAATAAATATACATGATGTCATGCGATTTTCAAAGCCACCAATCAACACACTCTTCAAAATACGATTTGTTTTGTAATTATGAACACAGATACGAAGCGCTGTTCAAGAGCGTAAAAGGCATAATTATGGGCGAGTCTCTCTCAACACTATTATCGACATTTTGATGTAAAATGAAATTTGGCCATGTGGACTCTCTGAAATTTTTTTATATTTTCGTTTCAGGTACAGCATCTACACTGGCCTTTCTGCTATGGACAAAACGTTTAAACCGGCTTTAATGAATAGTATTTATAGGCTCGAATGTGAGAAAGAAAGAGAATTGGATTCAGAAACAATCTTTAATCCGATTGTACAAAATGGTGTATATAAATTCGAATCCTCGCCTTGTAAGAAAGGAAAAGAATTTGATTTGGAAACTACATATAAACCGGCTCTGCAAAATGGTGTATGTAGGTTCGAGTCTACAACAAGTACGACAGAAAAAGAAATTGATTCGGAAACTACATTAGAACCAGTTGTGTAAAATGGTGAATGTATGTTCGAATCTTCACCAAGTACGAGAGAAAAAGAACTTGATTTAGAAACTACATATAAACCGGCTCTGCAAAATGGTGTATATAGGTTCGAAAAAGTATCTTAATTGGACACAAAGGGATTGGACACAAAAAAAATCAAACGGGTTTTGATAAACGATATATAAAAATTCGAGCCCGGTGAAATTGAATTAGGAAAAGGAGTAGGCTGTTTCCTTAAACCGCAAATTCCGACCAAAAATACAAATGTACTGCATTCCTGTATACGAGAAAGTGATATATTGGCGGCATTAGTTGAATGAAATGACCATTCCATAAACAACAGTTTCCGCAAAATATATACATTGTAGTGCAATGTGTTGTACGAGAAACTGATATTTTGGCAGAAGTGACTGATTGAAGTGAACTTTCCTAAAATTGCTAATTCCGCAATAAATAAACACTTGTATTGTAATGTGTTGTACGAGAAACTGATAATTTGGCGGGAGTGACTGAATCAGGTGACTCCATAGTTTCTATTAGCAACAATTTCCGACAAAATATGCACTTGCATTATATTGTAGTATGCGTGAAGGTGGTGATATATGTGCGGAAGTGGTTAAATGAAGTAACAGCAACTGTTTCCGACATAAAATTCTCTAATATTGTATTGCAGTATGCGAGAAAGTGGTATTTGAGAATGGTGGTATGAGTGACAAAATGTAGAAAAATTGCCTTGTACTTGCAGTATCTGTGATATTTAAAGAAAAGGGAGATAATCAACCCAACACTGGTGCAAATTAGGTAGTGCTCGATTGGTTAGTTCTGAACATGTTTTGTCCGTTCCAATTCAATCGAATGACACGAAACCGGATATGTCAACATTCAAAATTATGCTTCTGTTCTTTCTGCGCCATTTTGAATTCTGTCTACTTTTGCTTTTTTTAGGCACAGGTGGAACATGTTTCTCCGATTGTTGATTCCATGAATCCCAAACGAGAAGAACTCATCAATAGAGTGCCGCCTAAGAATTATGCTTGAGCTTGTGTAGGGCCCACTATTATGTATTATAATATATGGACGCACCAATATCGCAAATTCATTTCAATTTAGAAAATCTTTAAGGTACCCTTAAACCATAACGATTACCAGTTGTGTATGATTGTGAATAATGAAAGTGGTCATGAGTTCTGAACACAACTAACAACTCAGTTGCTTGAGAGTTGCGTCAGAAACTTATGACGGCTATTCCAATTCCTTACCATACGTAACCGGTGAGCGCTATAGTGTGAGGCCCACTTTATGTACAAAAATGCCGGAAGTGAACCTTCGTTGCTAGGGAAACTGTAGAAGTGGCAATTTATTTTGTGGATTCAGCATTTCCGTTTCCGGTTTCCGGGGGATGTCCAAAGCTCAATTTGTCTGTTATTTTATTGTTTGCTCAAGTTGAATGTGATAAACTATCGTTATATATTTAAGTTTAATGTTTTTTGGTGGTAATTAAATTCAATTATTTGAAAATATATATTCGTTTTCATGACATCTTGATGGTGTTTTTTTCATGGGCCTAATCTACCAATTTAGCCCTACCCTTCATACTTCCAATGATGCAAGTGGAAGACATTGAATAGTGTTTAGTCGTTCAGTTTAGTGGTTTAGTCTGCATGTATCCTTCAGCTAGGAGCTGTAAACTTTATAATTTTTTTTCGACCATAGAAGGTACAAAAAGGAGTAGGCAACAGTCATTGTCCTGGTAATATTTCCCTCATCGCACACTGCATGACGTTATCCGTCTTATCCTAAACATGGACAGAGCAACTCACTACAAGCCCCCGTTTTATAACAAAACGAATATTGAAAAACTTAAGATTACGTCATATTGAGTTACGTGCTCCACCCGATTGAGCTACCCCCTCCTCGTGCGCGTTGACAGACAGAAAATAATAATTAAGTGAATGATACACATTTAATATTAATGATACATGATACATTTTATAAAATCTTCCAATACATACAAAAACAATCAGATACGAAAAATTTTAATAACATAACAAATCATACAGAAATAGATATCAAAAAACTTATTTACAATAAAATATAACATTTTGATTTTGGTATTTTGGATGCATTAACAGAGATATAATATTCATACATAGCTAAACTATGTAAGCTTATTGACAACTGCCATGCAAGTCTGGATATCTACTGACTCGCACGACCTTTATGGATCAAAATATAGTGGGTACGATTCTTACCAACGGGAATTAAAGAATCCATGCCCTGAAAGCATAAAAAGAAATAATATTGTAATAACGTAAGTCGAAACTCTATGTACAGGCTCCGACAAGGGTCGCCTCGGAAAGAAAGGGAGAGGGCAGAGAGAAATGTAAATTTCGTGTAGGGTCATAGTTTTCCGGACTACTTCGTAGTAAGAATTTATATACCACTACATGTTCCTGGTGCACAACAGTGTAGAAAACGTCTTTACTCTCTGTTTAATGGAGTCAAACTTTCATGACATAGCTAATACTTCCAATGTTTGGTCATGCATCGACCCCTTATCCGTAAGATTCAAATATACTAACCTTTAACTGGGCATCGCTTGAAGAATTTCTTTGGGTCCACACATTCTTCAAAAGACTCGCTGAAAAACAGCTCTCCGGGGCAAGTCATGTGGGTAACCTTGGTCTTATGGCTCCAGAAATCTTCGCATTCCTTAAAATAGCTCTGACAATTTCCACCAGATCGATCAGCGTAAAATTTACAGTCGAAATACTCGGGTTCGAACGCCGGTTGTGTTGCAAATGGGTTCCAGGTGTCGAACCAAGCGTCAACCATTGGCGCCATTACCGCCAGGATAACAGCGACTACTGACAATAAGCCTGATAGAGTTATCTTCTCCATGATCTGAAATCCAGAAGTGATAATAGAATATAGAGGCCAATAACTACTGTTTAACTAACCCGACAAATCTGGACCTGCCAGTTCCTAAGATGTGATTCCCTCGTGAAACTGGTAGGGCCACAATGCTGAGATCAAGAAGAATGTTTATTCAGTTGATTATGTTTCCCTGAATCCGTAACGCTTTTCAAAATCATCAAGTTATTTTGATGACGTTTACCTTTTGAAATTTGACCAGGTTTTGCCATGACGGCGATGCAGGCAGTAGCGATTCTTTTGGAATAGGAACTGGGTTGGTGCTCTGAAAACCATGGCTAACTCGACTTTGCCTCCCAACCCATGTTTGTATTATCATCTACAATGTAGTTCCTACATGCCGGGTGTGTTATCTTACCTTGACAGGTCTGTGGCTCATACTCGGCGCCTAATTGTTCATAGAAATACAACACAAAGGTGTACAACACATGTACAAAGCTCAATACGATAAAAAAAAATGAATTGGATGTAAAACTCCATTCAGATTTTTCTTACCTATCAAATAAGATGCTGTAGACTCTTCAAAATTAAGCTGAATCAGAAGACGATATTCAATGAATAAAACTGACAGATTAGTGAGGGTTTATATATTAAACGGATATTGATTAACGCGATAACGCCCTGTGACAGATTCACTTATTTTAACTGATTTTTACACGATAATGTATAAAACAGTCCGATTTCATCGTTCAGTGCATATCCTCTAATCAGGCGACAACTTGTCAACTTTTTATGGTTGTAGTGCACCGATTTAGCATCTTGGCATATCGATCTTGAGATTTTTTAAATGTATTATTGTGATGAGATTTCTCGAGTGGATATTTTGTTTCATCTCCCGTCATTTTCCGCTAGCAATTACTGATATATAGTTAAATTATTTTGTAAGTAAATTTTTCATTAAGTAACTTTAAGTTTGTCTGAATGAGGACTTGTGTATAACATGGTTACTTCCCTTTATCCAATAGATCTTTGAACAACGGTGGTCGTGAATTCTAATCTCGAAAGTCTGAATATAATATTGTTCTTATTATACCAGTCGACCTAGCTGTAAATGGGTACTGACAATCCAGGACGAAACAGGCCACGGGTCAGCTTTTAGAAAGGATCCTCGAAAGTCCTTGTAAAAAAGTGGTAGTTTATTTTCTTCTTTTTCTGGCCATGTATTCTGGAAACGATCTTAGCCCTAAGATGTCCTAGAATCAATGTTAGAAGATAAGAACCTAGGATGTCCTAGAATCAATGTTAGAAGATAAGAACCTAGGATGTCCTAGAATCAATGTTAGAAGATAAGAACCTAGGACATAGCGCTAAGATCATTTCAAGAATATGTGGCCTGTATTTTAAATTCTGGAACAAGGTATGGTACATAAAAAAGGAGAAACCGTGTATCCACAATGTCAAGCTATTAAGAACGTTGTCATGTACCTTGACAGCAATAGTCACCTTTTTGAATCTTCTAAATGAAGGGGTTTGATTAGATTGTATACCAGTTTACAATTCTGTTTGGGGGAGTCCACGACCACACAACTTTTACTCTCGATTTTGCCATAATTTGGGTGAGATTTTGATTAACGGAATTGTCTTGTTTGGACTGATTATTTATCGAACTGCTGCATTCTGTGAGACAAGAATAGTAGCTTTTGCAGTCAAGGTATAAGTACGAAGTTCGTATTAGCTTGACATTGTGAAGATGTGTTTCAAGAAATTGACTATTTCAGCCAAGATATAAGTACGAAGTTCGTATTAGCTTGACATTGTGAAGATGTGTTTCAAGAAAGGTGACTATTTCAGCCAAGATATAAGTACGAAGTTCGTATTAGCTTGACATTGTGAAGATCTGTTACAAGAAAGATGACTATTTCAGTCAATGTACGAAGTAGGAAATTGGTAATAGCTTGACATTGTGAAGATGTGTTACCAGAAAGGTGACTATTTCAGTCAATGTACGAAGTAGGAAGTTGGTAAGAGCTTGACATTATGAAGATAGAAGCCAATGCTTGCAGTTATGATAAAAATCACTTGCTTATAACTTTGTTAAAGTCAATTTGTTAATCCAGTTGTAACTGATGATAAATTTGAAATTAACCAGATCAACGAACACAAACAAAAGAGGCTTAGAGAAATAATTAAAATTAAATAAACTGAAATGATCGGTGTTTATTGAAATTAACTTGTCAAGTTTTTCTGACATTTTTTGGCATTGATCGATCAGAAATTCTTTTACCGGAAGTGACTAGAATCTAATTAAATTTTACAGTTCCGTTTTTAATTTTAACATGTTTGGTGAATTTTTTTATATGGTTTGACGTGGAATTCTAAAGTGGTTTAATAATGCTAACAATCAATTTCGTTGTTTGATAGTTGCTTTTTTCAATGTTTCTTTTTTTAAATTATTTGTGTGAATCTGCCTCGCATGCGTATTGAGATTTTCGTTATAGCCATCCAATTATTTGCCAAGCACTATTCGCCAATCCTCGGAGGGAGTTCAAGAAACCTCTGCCAAAAGTTCCCTTAATGCCCACTGCATAGCAATGTCCGGTTTAGCCCATTAAGACATTCTTATGTTTGGTGTAAAACTCCTATGTCAACTTCACCGATTTCGACTTCGACCTGACCCAGCCTGTACATAAGAGTGATTGTAAACGTCAATCAAGTCGGTATGTGACATGACAGATATCCAAATTCCATATTATTGACAATATTTCAAGACCAAATGTATTCTGTACATCTCTCCATGAGGTCACTTAAGGTCACGGATGTCAATTTTCCTAACAATAACCATATTTTATTGAATATAGTGAGAAAATGATGAGCCTTGATTCTATTTGAGAGGATATTAAATGAAATAGATGGCCATTGTCATCGTTTATTAACTTAATTTGGAGGACAGAATGCTCAGAACCTGCTAGAGTCAAGGGAGGTCACTGATACTGATTTCTTGGTAGTTGCGTTCGATTGTTGTTTCCGCTCCGACTCATGTCTGTGTTCTGTGGGAGTAAATTTTAAATTCCTTATCCAAAGACTCTTGTTCTGACATCTTGATGTAGGTTTTTGATGGGGTGGGTGCTTACCTGGAAAAACATTGTTGTTGCTCTTGCAAAACACAACTGAATGGATGAAATGAATGAAAAAGGCATATTGAATAAAAGAATGAATGGATGAATAATTGAATGAATAAAAGAGATAGAGTAAGGAATAAAATAGAGCTTGTTAGCGATCATCATGACAAAATAAAAACCCAGAAAAAATATTCAATGAGAATTTTAAAAAATAGATTTTAAAGATCGATCATCTCCATCGAATTTTCTCATAAATATGGCTTGATGTTGATTAATGACGAAAAATCATGGAGAAAATTTAACTCAATCTTTAACAAAGCCACTCAAATTGTTTTTTCCATTTCATCACATTTCGTTTCATACGCTAATTAACGATCCTGTAAATAACGGCAGCCTGTTGATCTCTAGGGCGCGTATAAAAACGCAATCTTTATGGGATATCACGAAACGAAGTAATTCTTATTATTGATTTAGTTAGTTAATAACGTCATTTATATTCGTTTAGTAGAGCCAAGGTCAAGAGAGCTGAAGTAAGGGGAATAACTCGAGATTATAATCTCAGCTGAATTGCTTATTTATCATATTTTGATTCTTTTATGAAAATAAAAGTAGATCATGGAGATTTGATGAATTAGTCATGGAATGTGATAAGGTCTTCCTAACATCCATAATGTTTACAGTCTTTTTGTCGAGGCTCTGATTGGCTTTATTAGCTAGCGTACAATCCTATCATCGCTGTATTGTAATCTTCTGTGATACAAGAATAGTGGCTATTGCAGTCAAGGTATAAGATGAAGTTCGTTATAGCTTTATATTGTGAAGATGCCTTAGCTAAGGATCAACTAAGTCGTTAGCCCAATAAGATACTACAAGTTAAGTCTAGAATATATACAATTCATCTCGTTATTTCAATAAGATACAGAACAGTAGGATATAAAACTCTATTTCATTTCATTAGTCCAATAAGATACAGAACAGTAGGATATAAAACTCTATTTCATTTCATTAGACCAATAAGATACAGAACAGTAGGATATAAAACTCTATTTCATTTCATTAGACCAATAAGATACAGAACAGTAGAATATAAAACTCTATTTCATTTCATTAATCCAATAAGATACAGAACAGTAGGATATAAAACTCTATTTCATTTCATTAGTCCAATAAGATACAGAACAGTAGGATATAAAACTCCATTTCATTTCATTAGTCCAATATCGTACTGAACAGTAGGATATAAAACTCCATTTAATTTCATTAGTCCAATAAGATACAGAACAGTAGGATATAAAAGTCCATTTCATTTCATTAGTCCAAGGATCTAGACAATAGGACGTAGATCCAATTTCATTTCATTTCTTTTCATTACTCTGTTAAGTATTAAACTACCGCAACTAATGGCGAACACATAAACTTGGTCTCATTTCGTTATTGGAATAAGCTAATAGCTAACAATAATGTTTTTCTCGAGGTATATGCTATCTCTATTTCACCTCTGGGTATCATAAGTCTATTGTATTTTTCGCAGAGGTATTATGTAAGATGATATATCACAGTCGACATTTAGAAATATCAGCTGAAGGTCACCAAGAGACTGGCAATAGGTTACAACAGCTGTTACATTACAAGAATTGTGGTGTTCTACAAACAGACAATAGTAGAACAGTGGACCACTCTCTAGAATGTAACACAAGGTTAGGTGATGTCTGATGTTTCAGACAATAGTACAACAATGGACCACTCTCTACAATGATATAACCCAGAGTTAGGTGATATCTGACGTTTCAGACAGTAGTACAATAGTGGACAGCACTTTGAAATATTACCCAGGGTTGAATAATGTGTAGTGTTTCTAAAACCAGACAACATTACAACAGTGGATTATACTTTGAAATATAAAGCAGAGTTTGGTGAAGGCCGTGGTGTCCAATGAAACACTCTCTCTTCAGGTGCCTATAATGATGCAGTGATATCCTCCAGGAATGAAATATAACTAAGAATAGGTACCGGATGAACATTAAGTTACTTCCACTTTACCAGGAAGAACAAATCTTCACAATTCTTCATGAAATACTTCCTCATTTATGAATAATATACTTACTCATATGAAAATTTCTTTAGCTGTTAATGTTTTAACATTATATCGTTTTGGATTTCGGGTTTCATTTTGCGGTTCTGATCACAAGTATTTGGTGTTGTTTGTTCTTATTTTGGATTTCTCGATTTTCTTTTTTGCTAGACTGACCTACTGCCTGAGCTCTGCCAAGTTTCTGATACTTCGAATAACTTCGAAATAAATACGACATAATTACCCAAC